TGAATGTAAATGAACACAGGGCCAAAAGAGAAAAAGACAGAAACACAACATAACTGGGACAGAGTAGATAAAATGTTTTCGGCTAATGTTTCAATTAAGCAGACAGTGAAAAATTTAATTTTCTTTCATTTGGCAAGCAATCTGGAATGAAAATATTCTGAAGAGGGCCACCCAAGCCGAACCCCCGATACGTTGCTACAAAGTTCGCAATTGAGTCGCTCGGTTTTGGCTCGGTTGTCCTGGGCGATGTTCACAAGGAATTTCAATGTTCCACTCATAATTTCCATTAATTGCATAGAATTAATGCCGTCGACTCCACGAATTGAGCCCGTGTACCGCTCAGCCTGCTCAGTAGTCATTTCTATAATTTTCAACGCACTTTAAAAATAGCTGCAAGTGCATTAAAACATTAAACATCATTCAAAATAGCAAAATAGCAAAAAAGCAACCAAAAAAAAAAATAACAGCAACAACAACAATCGCGCTTAGGCATTGAACGGCAGCAATCCGGCTTTGCTAATTTCGGACTTCTGACGAGCGGCCGGCTACTGGCTACCAGCTTCTTTTTATTTTAAGGCGATAAGCAGCCGGTGACTGGCTGTCAAGAAACTTAGCCATTTTCTAGGCACGATCATGATTTAGGCATTCATATACCGGCGCAATTTTGCAGATACCACTCAGGGGCATTTCTGCGCGAGCTGCTGCTTCTGCAAGGAGGCGGTATGCAAATTTGCTGTTGAAGACTGTGCAACATGAATGGCCACGCCCATTTCTTTATGGTAGACAATAGCAATTGTCATGGGAGCTTGCAACGTAACTAAGGAGCGCAAACCAACTTAAGGCTGTTGTAAAAATATTGATTCACCTATAAACTGTTCGTACTCAACACAGTTGAGGAAAAATTAAATTTTAAACATGAAAAACTAATGTTAATTCTAACTGGCTGACTGATACATCCTCTGTGTAGTCTAAGCGTTTATAAATGCGAAATCAAGTGTTGTGCAATTGAGAAAGGGATAGAAAATAATTATAAAATAATAACATAATTTACAGTGTTATATTCTAGATCTCATTTTGGTTAATGCTCTCACAGGATCAGATATATGAATTGTACTGTTTTTCCTTTAAATAACTTATTTTACCTGTTTGCCAATGGGTTAACAGAACTTTCCATGTCCTGAATATGATTTTTGCTTGGTTACTGACGAAATTGTTAACAGCCAGAATTAAAACAGCTCTTAGTTACACTTCTCACGATTTCTTTTACTTCTCGTACTGCGAATAATTCACAAGAACGCCATTATTCCATTTCTTGTCGCAAAGTTTCCCTGTCAAATGAAAACAAGAAAACAGCAACACGTGTCCATTTTAATTAAAATAAATAAACAGGCGGAAACATAGAAATAAGCCAAATAGAAAAACTACCATTCCATACACTAAGGAGTCCAAACACCCAAATTGCGCGGTATGGGCGTTGCCCCAGTTCATGTTGCCATTACCATTTCCATTTCCATTTTCATTTGTTTTCAAAGGCAAATGTCAAAAATTGTACGTGCTATTAAATTTCATGCGTCTATTTGATTTGCCACTAAGGGGGCCACGGGTAAGGGGGCGAGTGGGATACGGTCATGCCTAAGGCAAAGGGTTTGGCAGAGAGGCTTTCTCATTGCGTGGGCGCTCCGGGCTATCTAATATGTTTTGGCTGCCTTCTTGTACTTGGTATATATTATTTCTGTTATGAAACGTGCGTATTCGAATTTGAAGCGAATTATTATTTGAGCAACGGAAAAGCCCTTCAGGCCAATTTTGGCGCAACTGGAAACGTTTCTTGGAAAACCATAGCGCAACAACTTAATTTTTTTTTAGCTGTATAGCTACCAATTTGCATGCGGCGTATAATTTACAATAAATAAATCAAATGCAAATCGCATAAATAGAAGACCACCAACCCCATTCATGGCTATTCCATTAGACGCCCAGACATTCACGACGGAGTGTGTGAGTGAGTTATTAGCCGAAGCTGAAGCCGAGTCCATGCCTTGCCCTTTTATGAGAGCAGCCCTTTGTCTGGCCAGGATTAAGACCATTTATTTGCTTGTCATGTTGTGTGGTAGTCTTACAAAAGTATTTCCCATTCGAGGTGGCCTGAAGTCCGTGCAGCTAGTCTGGGAAAAAGCTTTAGAATAAGGCGATTCAACATTGCAGTCCAAGAAATCAAAATCAATGAAGATTTGTGGCACAATAAAGTTCAATAGTAGCATGGCTTCCAGTTCATCCATCCCCCTGACTCCCTTGCCTCACTTGTCAGAATCCATCAACTTTTGAAGCCCCCCTGAATCCCTGCTTGGATTATTGAACGCCAAATTGGTGCAAACTTTAAACTTTATAAATTATTTTATACTAATTTAGAAACAGCTAAATGCCACTGAAGAAATTAAATATGCTCTTGACTTTTGTCTCGTAAGGCTGGCAATAAATCTTAAGAAAGCTAATTAAACTTGCTACGAGTAAGAGTTTAGGCACAAGATTTCACTTCTCATTTTCATTAGCACATTTTTGAGTTAATAAAAGCTGGAGACGCCCCATTTGTATGCACGTTATGCTTAAGATTGTCAGAGATTCATAATATTTGACTTTTTAGATACATATTTTATAGGCTAACATTTTTATTAGCAGAGTAATGAAATAGATATGGTATATAGAACTAGATATAATATAGATAGGTATTCCCCCACTTTATTAAAGTCAAAACAAAATGTGGCTGGGTTTCTTTGAGAGGGAAATCTTCTTCTTATACTTTTTAGAGGTATAAACATGGCTTGTGGTATATACATTTCACTTATTATGTGACACGATAAAGCTCTAAATCTGGACTACAGATGATATTGTAATTTTGTTTTTGCGCCTTTCAGACTTTGCCTTTTACAATCTAACTGGAGATCGCTGGGGCCTTAGCAAGGTAGATAAGCTAACATGAAGAGGGGAGAAACGAATTTTGTATTTGTTGCGTTGAATAAATGGAGATTCGCAAACGCAATGCTCAAAATCAAAAGCAAAGCTTATATTGGCTTGCTTTGGTAATAATTTATTGGGTTGCATATACGAAAGATCTGGAAGATATATGACGTCTTGCCTTTAAATATAAATGCTTATTTTTGATTGATTCAATCAAAATGAACGAAATAAACGAAGATCGCTGGAGTACGCTCAGTCCATGTACACATTTAGTTGGGAGTAATCAAGTTTTCTGCATGCCTGTCACGTAATTTATTGATTTAGCTCTTGGGAATACGAAACGGCGATTCGAGGCACCAAAAGCAAATCGTAAAAAATGTTTGCCACCGCGCTGCCTGAAGCCTACAGCCGGGGACGGGGAATGAGATGAAGGAAAGTGGCCTGGCGTGAGCCTGCCCGGCTGATTGGTTCATGTTGATGTGATCATAAGGCTGGCGGCTGCAAATTCAAATGCATTGGCCAGATCTGCGAGTGCAACTGCGTAAAGGTGGGCAGCCATTTACGCATGAACGCCTCGAACGATTCACCGGGCCCCGGCCCGGTCTTCGACTTCGACTTCGACTTGGACTGGATAGTCTGCCTGCGATTATCGATCAACAGACGCGAATGAAGATAATGGCCGACTTGCCATTTTGCATTTTTGCATTTGTAATGAAACTAAAAACCAGAATGAAATGTAATTTTTGAACCAAGCAGCCATATCCACAACCAAGCCGCAGCAGCACACAAAAAAAAAAAAAACAGCCAAACAACATAGTCGATCGACATGCTCTTATTGAATGCAAACTAAAAGGCACATTGAACTTTGGGAGTCGCACAGAATACAGAATCCACAAATATATGAGAAGATAATATGCGGATAGTTAGGGCTTAAATGATATAATTATGTATCCATATTAAGTTGTATATATTCTAAGTAAGTTAGGAATTTTTGTGCGAAAGTAATTTTGCCTAATTATTACGATTTTATTTTTTTTTTAGTGGTTTATCGACCAATATAGAAAACTGTTTTAAGCCCTATTACCCTATGTAAATTAACTAAGAAAAGTAGGCTTGAAATTCACCTGCCCACATTCATGTTTATAGTCAGATCTAATTGAAATGTTTGGAACAACCAACCGCGTTCAATATTGTTTGAGTTATCACTGGACACTGCTCGTCCTGATCAAGCAAAAATATAAATTCCGAAATTCTTCAAAATGTCAAAAACAGTCAGGTTTGTGAAGTTGAGCTGAGCGAACATGAAGAAACGAAGCGGACTCAATAAATTGAAATAATACAAAATTAAAGCCAGGGAATGCATGAAATAACCATCCTAACAAATAAAACCATGCTGTGACTCCTTTGCATATGTCAGCAAAAGGCCTTTAAAAAGGAAAGGAGTATAGGAGCGTAAATACTAGTTTTTGTAGAAACAGGAAAAACTACGGAAAGCCCCGTCAGATAGTTTGCTTCAAACGCTTTCTATTAATATTTAAGCAAAAGTTAGATACGTAAATTTTCCTAAGTTAATAACGCCAAAATATTTTGGGAAACACTTAATTTGTATTAAAAACTCAGGCTTCTTAAGTCGTATTGCTTTTTCTTAACAACGTAAAGCGGCGATTGTGTTCGTGACACGAAAGAAAACACTACACGCTCACAACTCTAATAAATATATATGCAACAAGTGGCACAGAGAATTGCAAACTATTTTATGCGAGCACCATGGAAAATAAGTAAGAAAGGAGAGCGTTTAAGGCAGAGTAGAATTTCCAGGTAATTTGCAAAATGGCTACATCCTAGAAGAGCTAAAATTCGGGCGAAATTCTCAGCGCATTTCATTTCCATTGAAATTTGACCTTACCTGAGAGGTGAGATCAGCTTTTTACTGAAGCAATGGTAAGCAATGCTAATGGTTAGTAGGTAGGCAGGTAAACACATTTGATGGTTGATTTTTGGTGCTGCTACTCTACTTTATTTATGCTGACTTTATTTCCTTGCAGCGCTCAGTCAGTGTCGAAGCAAAACTCGAGAATGTTGGTCGCGTTCTTGTTGCTGAACCTTTTCGTGTCCAGCTTGCAGAACAATGTTACTGTCTTTGAGGAAGCACCTGCCCTATATACCACCAGAGAGGGCTGTGAGTCATTATTGAAGAGTAACAATGAGTGCGAGTGCCAGGATAAGCGCATCAAGTGCGGTATGGTAACTCTTAGCAGCTCATCCCAGCTCTACAGTATCAGTTGCAGCATTTTTGATGTACGCGGCTTTGGTTACTTGCCACCTCTCAAGGCCGGTAGCATTGGTCGGCTAAGCATCGACAACTGCGCTATACCCAACGCTCAAACTATACGCAGCCTGCTTTCGAAGCTGGGAGTTAGTAACTACACTGAACTGGAGGTCTCTAACTACTTTGAGACGCGCGACGAGCGAGATGAGCTGCTGGAACAACATTTTACAAATTACCCCGGGCTCAAAAAAATCTCTTTAATTGGGTTTAAGGCGATGCTTCCCGCAAATTTTTTCGAGAATGTTACAGAGATCACCGAACTGACGCTGAAGGGCAGAAGTGATTTGCCAGGCACATTGCTGCATCCTCTCACACATCTGACGAGGCTATCAATTGTTGTCAGAAATATGGCTAGCGTGGCCAGCGAGATATTTGCCAAACAGACGGAGTTGCTCCAACTCTCGCTCGACTGCTCGCTTAAGAACAGCAGTGTGGATATGTCCTTGCTTAGCTCCAAAGAGTTGTGGCACATGACCAAGCTCCGCGGTTTCGAGTTGCACAACTGCGGCGACAATGTGCCCGCCGAGCTGTTCTGGAAATCGGAGAATCTATCCTACATTGGCATTCGTAGCAACATTAGTTACCTGGGCAGAGATTTCCTCAAATCGCAAAAGCAACTGCTGATGCTACATTTGGAGCGCAACAACATTGCCAGGTTACCGGACGAACTGTTCCACCACTCACCAATGCTGCTTGAAATTCACCTGGCCCACAACAATTTGGATCGCATACAAGGGTAGGTACTCATGTGCTGATAAACCTTCATGCTCTACAATCCCAAACTGTTCTTTTCTTACTAGCGGCCTTTTCAATAAGCTTAAGAATCTCTTGGTCTTAAATCTGGAGCACAATCCAATTACAACTGTTGCGTCCAATGCATTCACCGCTGTGGCCTCGGCGCGCATTTATATTGGAGATCTGTTCAAGCAACTAAACAACGCAGATTGGGCGCGTTCCACAAACGCCACGCTATGCGAAGAGGAGTATATCAATGGTGTTTGCCTCTACTGCAAACGTGATGAGTACCTGGATCACTTTTCAGCGAAGGAAATATGCAACAAGCCTAACGATCCGGGAAAGCTAATTGAGGTCCTCAATCGTAAGGTTTTCGAACATCGCCTTCATCGCCTTCACATGTCTTAATCGGCTACAAAGCAAGAGAGTGAGTGATACAAATCACATTAGCTCTCAATCTGATGATATTTTCATACAATAAGCAAATCTCTCGCCTATTCGAAAAATCCATTCCCCAGGGTAGAAATGGGAGAGAAGGCTGTATAGAAAATGAGAAATTTAAATTAAATAAACTCATATACCATACGAATACAATACTTTTATAATCAATCTCTTGTCACTTTAAGCAAAAAAAAATCTTAAGTCGATTGTAACCAAAATTGATATGTAGTCTCTTATACGCAAATTAAGAATTTTTAACCCACGTTATTCTGTCAAACTTTTATTAAATTTCCATAAAGCATCTAAATATATTGACTGAGAAGAACATGGCATTTTGTAGTCAAACACACCCAACTGCAGCGTTCTTACTTGTTATCAACAGAGTGTATAGAAGCCATTAGGATATGACTGTTGTACAACATTACCGGTAAAATCAATTTTGGCTTCTCTCACATTTTACAATATTAAATTCACTCTAAAGCATCAAAATTGAAATAAAAAGGCATCAGATACACAAACAACATTATTATTTTTTGCATTCTTTAAGAGGCGAGAGGGAAGTAATTTCATGTAAAAGTAGGCTAGGGAGACTGCTGCGAAGTCAACACCATATTGTTGTGTATAAATCATGAACAAAAACAATTTATCTTCTGATTTGTAGCAAGGGATGGTACGGATAAAATATACAAAACTTCGCGTTTGTTCATCTGTTACTGTTTCATTAATGGAAGCGGGCGCGACATGTTATATCAAATAACGCCTTAGATTTTTTTTGAGTAAACTTTGTAAGAAAAGTTTGTAGAGCAATAGGGTAATATATGCTGAACTGAACTACACAAAACAGCAAAACAGCCTATTTAAGAGCTCAAAACAGAGTCAGTAGGCTGTAGTTTTTTATTTCGATTATTGCTTAAGCAAACGAGCCCTTAGCGCGAACTGAATTTGGTGTTGGTAGAAGAGGGTATCTCCTAGTCCCACTTACTCTAGTCGCCACTTACTTTTTTTGTTGTTCACCTTAATTGTTGATAAACATAGACATAAACACCATGTGCAGACATATCAACGGTTTACTCTAAGATTAAAACGCATTATCCTCATTTCGAAGCTTTAAATTGTTGAGAATTGCAAAATCTTAGCACCCAAACGAATTATGGTATTAAAGAAATAAGAAAATATAACTTTAAAAAATATGATCTAAAGAATACTACAAATTTCCCAATTAAGTTTCAAGCTAAAACAAACAAAAATAAGGGGCAGTGCGAATGAACGAACAAAGACATACATCTGCACGTATGTATTAGACAATATATTCAATATCAGTTTCAAGTCTGCGTTTGAGTAACATTTTACTGCGTGTTAATGCATGCCATAACTCATCGGCTTAACGTGTGCTTTCTGGGACTGCACACTTTTAGTTCGCGGCGGCACTCTAATCTTAACTTGCTGTTTCAGGTGCCACTAATAAAACGCACGGCAAACTGACGCCACCAGCATACAGTAGGCTGAGAGCACCGTACTATAGAAAATGCATTTATTGCGATTGTATCACATACATTGTCCATCGGGATTTTCTTTCTTGCGAGCGACAAATTTGTCGCGGGACACATTGCACTGATAGCAGCTCTGAATGATAGGCTCATATTGAGGGCGGTATTCTTCAGAGTCTATACAATATATGGAAGGGATATATTGTACAAACTAAAATGTTGTATGGTTGGTTCTGCTTGCAACCGGCTCGGCTGTGCACTGGATAGACGTACTATTTTAAGTGACGCTGTTCTGACTTCCAATATTTGAATTATGTGCCCAAGTGTGTATAAGAGACAGTATAAAGCAGTACTATATGTAGTCTTGGTCAGCGTTAACGATTCGGTCTATCATATTTTGGACCTCGTCAAAGACGGCAACACTTGCTCTAGATATATACTAATTTTCGAGAATATGCCGGAAATAAATGCACGCGTGCACGTCACAATATTTCCACAAAATTTCACTGAATTCTTAAGCTGCGCTATTTTAAAGTTCGTATGCGATTGTATTGCAATACCAAAATTCGAAACTGAAATACATGCCGTACAAATGACAGACGACTCGCAGTTGTTTAGAAACATAGCTGTGTACCAATATCTGGCGGATTTATTTCAAAGCAATACCCGGTGAACGAACTGCAGCCTTATAAGCTGCGTTTATCGCTTTGTAGAGGGCAGACGACAACAGCAGCCAGGAACAAACAAACGAAAAACACAACCGCCGTATATGAAATTTATGGGCATCAACGTTCATTTTGAAGCGGGCCCCCGACTGGTGGCCGAGCTTGGATGAGGACGTGGATTCTGTCGACGAGTCCCGTGTTGGCTGTCTACTCGTATAGCTAGTCAGTGGCTGGCTTGGCATTTGTAATGCCTAAATGCTTTGGCGAATTGATTTTTGGTGTAAACGATGTGCAATTTTAATGGATTGTGCTGCCAGATAAGAAACCCATGCAAAGGCTGGGCCTTAGACTTGGGCTTGGACTGCCGCTTGACTGGCCGCCAGTTGGCCATTCTGTATTTCGTGTCGTTTAATTGAATTTGTTTTGATTAGTTGTAGCTCTGCGATGCTCATATGGATGCGCAGCATTTTGCGAATAAAACTTAAAGTGTTTGCCATACGGGTTGACAGCAAACAAATTTAAAGTCCGCCTGTCGAAAATGCAAGCTCTTCGTTCGTTTCCCGCTTATTGTGATACAACAATCTTTATAGAAGAAAAAAAATATATGTATCATCATGCTGTTAACCTTTGTGCCTTGAGGCGGTTTGCCGACAAATTGACATTGTTCATATTCATAACATGGCAGCAAAAATGCAAACCTGCAAACTGACAAAAAAAAAATGCCAATTTAAATATTTTCAAATATTTTAACAAGGCATGCGAGGAAGCCGTGCTAATTTGCCAAACCCAAGCGTGTGCGAAATAAAAATTTTCAACATTTTTGGGCCAGCGGCATGAAAAAACATTAAGTGTAAAAGGTGAAAACTTTTTTAATTAATTAAGCGTCCGCTTTAGCTGCATTTTTTACAGCGTGAAAACACAATGGGCAACGATTTCGGGCATATCATACAACATTGAATTTATTCTGTAGCTAGGATTAGTTAGTTCACTGTCTGGGTATCCCCAACAAAAGTCAAGTGGCGCAGTCAATTAGAACTCGAGAAACAATTAAATGCAACGTCCTGCAGTCTGGCTTAAATGAATGGCAGGATAAAAACCCGGCATCCAAAATGCAGTCAATGCAGTTAACTTGTTGATTTTCATAAAACTAGTCTACAAACAAAATGATTTTTATACAGGACTTATATGAAAAATATTCAAATGTGCCAAGCACTCTGTAGTACATCATTAATGATGTCTCAGAGCAGACATATATTTAATATATTAAGAAAAATGCACATACGAATTGAAAAATAATTTGAGTTTAAAGACTCCAACGTTGCAACTTTAATTGTATTCGACAATTTGTTTCTGCCTTAAAATAAAATTGCTACAGATTTGTAATTTTCGTTTTTCCGATTAGCAGTTGCATTATAGATATGAAATAGCAATCGGCATCTAAAGAGCAGACAAAAGGCGGTGTTTTGTAAGCTAGTGTAACCTATAATTGTGAGCCTCCCAGAGCCTTGCAATTTCAATTGTTTGTCCGTAAAAGTCAATTTGTGAGCTGACGCAGAGCCTGTGTGCATTTCAATTAGAATAAGATTGACAGCTAAGCACGGGGTTGTCCAAGAGCATAACAATGGCTGTAGCCCGGACTTCAACCGGGCTCTACTGACACTGTGCGATAAGGTTAAACGCCTTCCCAAGACAAATGCACTTGGCTTGTGGTTTTTCGAATTTAATTGAATTTAATTGATTTGCGTTTGTGCGAGGGGCAAACATAGAAGTGTTTTCTTTGGGATTGGTTTCTCTTGGTCGTTGGGCTTACTATTAAAGTTGCATGCAAATTTGTACTGTCAGCATTGGGTTGAAATAGGATTTGTGCACGAATTGTAAAAGCTTATATCTTTAAATACTTCACATATTCCAAATAATAACCATTGATTTAATATATGATACATACGAATAAAATATCAATTAAATATAATTTTAAATTAATTTGGTTTTATACAGTACTAAAAATAATTTTTTTTTTCAGTTTTCCATGAGTGACAAAAAAAGAGAACAACCAATAATATTATATTTAAATATTATCTTAAATCGACTTCTATTGGGACGCACAACTAGGCTTAGATGGTCAAAATCTTTATGATAATCAAACGGTTCTATTAATAAAGATCTTCTTCTGATTTGTATTCAACAAACGCATTTTCACTTATTACATATTTATTTTTAATATTGAAGAAAGCAGATCTAAGCGTAAAATATAAGCTTTCCTTTAAAGACCTATATACAGCGAGCTTGGTATTTGGTATCTCGTCTACCTCCTGCGATTCCACAAATATATAAATACGAATAATTTGAATAAATTACAAGCGGTGTGCTTTGGTAAACGTGTCGACTATAATGTGTTATATAAGCATACACTTTACAAGTAGAATGTTTCACAATAGACAGTAATGTGAATCGGTACTATCGCAAACTGAATTAGATATATCAATCGATTTGATATCTAGCATACGTTTAGTATACATATGTATGCATGCAGTTAGGTACATACATATGTTATCTGAGTCTACATTCCACTATAAATCAACAAAGAGACATACCATTTTCCATGAAAGAATGAAACTAATATTTGCCAATATGCCAAAACAAAACAACTAACATAAAATCACAATAAAATAAAACAAAGCAGAACGGCTGGCTTTCAAAGGGAAGCATTCCTCACATCGCAGACACACACACTTTGGGGATGAAATTGAATGTTTGGACAATCGCTGGCGCTATGCTGAAAGCTTTTTCGTAGTCTCCATTATACCTTTGTCTTCTGCGCGGTGTTTACATGCTGATTTTTTGGCACGCGATATCCTTTTGGTACCTGCGCTGTTTGCCGTCAAAATGGTCCTGCATTTCTATTTTTTATTGTTTGTCGGGCTGTTTGCTTCTGGTAGACTAAGAAATTCCCTGACACCTTTGTTTACACTATGGCAGTATAGCAGGCCTGTAGAGGTTTTCTCTATGAGCATGCTTTCAAAATGTTCTACGTAATTGTTGCCACTGCATTGTTCGCCAAACAAAAGGCCGGCGTGCAATAATAACATTTTTCGATTCGCATTAGTTTAATTTATTAGCTGCTCGCATTTGCAAACCAAGCGGTAGTGTACATATTGCTGTCTGATGAGTAAATACGTACCCGATTACAAAAAGTCGGTCTTTG